AGGTGCTGTTAATTGTACAATTCATTGCTACTATGGCGCAATCGGAGTCTAAGCAACTACTAAATTCCAGTTCTCTGTCACCCCGTGTCAATCGATGGAAAGGGCCAGCCACATCGCTCGATGGAAAAGAGCCAGTTGTTAAAAACTGAGGGCCGGGCTCCTTGATGGTAATATTTATGTTCCATTGTTATTGGCTTGCAAATACCTGCAACCTAATGGCACTTTTACATACACACAATCTTTGAGATTTTATATGTTTCTTTTACAGGCCTCGGTTCCTGGAGCGCACCGGAGCACCGCTCCACCAGTCAGGAGCCCAGGGGGCGGGCACATAAGCCCCTGCTCCCACCAGCCATCAGTTGGGCAACCGTGGGGGGGGGGAACGTTCCCTGCCTCCCTGAGCCTCAGGGAGGTGGGCCTTGGACTCATAGGGGCAAATTCCACCTCTCGCGCTGGCTCCCCCAGCTCTCCTTCGGGGCTCCTTAAAAAGTTATGGCCACCACCACTGTTCTCGGCGGCAGCTACGACGCTCGTCGGGGGGGCAAAACATTCTCCTGCCTCCCTGAGCCTCAGGGAGGTGGGCCTTGGACTCATAGGGGCAAATTCCACCTCTCGCGCTGGCTCCCCCAGCTGCCCTTAGGGGCTCTTTAAAAAGTTATTGCCGCCGCCACTGCTTCGGCAGCAATGCTGATCAGCACTTTGGGGCCAGGAAGCAATTTTTCTCCAGGCCAGTTTGGCCCCCAGTGATCCTGGAGGTTTTTTTTTTTAATCATATTCTGGTCGTGGAACAGGGGTCACTGGAGTGTGTGGGGGGTATTGGTGAATTTCCTGCATTGTGCAGGGGGTTGGACTAGATGACCCTGGCGGTTCCTTCCCACTCTATGAGTCTATGATTCTATAATTCACCCAGGCTGGCTGTGGGCACGCCAGCACCTCTGTCAGGCAGAAGCGCCTGAGATCCTCCCCCTCCCCTTTTCCTTCGCCCGACCTGGAGCGAAGGAAAATGACCCGTTTCTTTACATCATTTATAAACTTTGGTTTTTGTCCGTCATACACAGATAAGTGTATGTTGCAAGGTGGGGGGGTGTAATGTATTCAGATGCTGCCCTGAATGCATGGGGATGAAGTGTGAATCATCCCATAGAGAACCTATGCTAAGCTTCAGACGTCGGCTAGGATTCGCGCTGAAAAGTATTGTGTCCAATCACATTTGAACTGTCTGTGGTGGGAACGTTTGTGATTGGGCTATTATGCGAACAACCTGATAGGTTGGAACTCGTATAGTAGGTGTGGCTACATTAGCCCGGAATGTTTAAATACCGAGCAGCTGAAATGGACAAGCTGTTCGGGCTATGAGGAGTTGTACCATGTTGGAGAAGTTGATTGTCGAGCTGAATAAACCTGAGTTTTTTGCTGAAATCATTCTCTGACTACTTTGTTAAGTACGGACTTAACAGGGGGGGGATTCAGTCCATGGATGTTTGGCTGTCCACTATTGGGAGACAAAATTCCACAGGGGTAAAAATATGCCGCAGCATAATTCTAACAAAAATAATTTGTCCAAAAACAGAGTTTTATAGGAATAGGGAGAGCACAGACCTGTGTAGGGTTACCTGCTCCCCCCCCC